TCCCTGTCTCGCAGTTATGCTTCGATGCGAGCCGGATTGTGTTCACTATATGAAGCCCTCACTGTTCCGTTTGTAAATGCGCCTGCAGTTTAGAGGTCATGAGAGCTGTCCCTAAAGTGTAAACATAGTTAGTAGAGGGGGATAGCAAACAGCTGTATAAAGAAAGAGAAAATTCTAGAAGAAACTTTATGTGTCTACGTTAGGATTTTCCTACATTAGGATTTTTTTGGGCTAAAAAAAATCTGTTGGAGTTGTTATGATTGCTTTTCTCTCTGGAGTACAACCTCTCCCCCTCCCCCACAGTAATCGTTTTATCTTACTGTACATGACACTTCGTACCTTCCGCCAGCTTTTGGTATCAACCATGTGCGTTTCACCTGCGTGTCACAGTGTCAGAAAAAAATGATTGAATACATCATTTAAAGTTCAATATTTGTATCGATCGTAACACTGCTTTTACAGAAAATCAACAGAGAAGGCATAGGAATATAAAATCACCTTTGTAACACAAAAATGGCCTTCAGGGAAAATGTCATGAAGCGGATTAAGAATGCTTTCACCAGCGTCTCCGTGATTACCTACGCACTCGTGGTAATTTTTGGTACGGGTTCGTGGATAGCGGTGAACGGACTTTGGGTTGAGTTACCCATGATTGTCCAACAAATTCCTGAAAGCTGGTCTCTGCCGTCCTACCTGACAGTAATAATCCAACTGGCAAACATAGCTCCGGTAGCTTTTACGCTGGGAAACAAGTTGTACCCTCGTGTGGTCCACGAGATTCCCGTCATTTACATCAGCTTGGGTATTGGCACGGCGTCCTGTGTTTTACTGGCATTTTTCTGGAAGGAAACGTCGTACATCGCTGGAGCTGAACGAAGCACAGCACTTTTAGCTCTGTGTTTCTTTCTTTCCATGGTTGATTGTACCTCGTCTGTTACGTTCCTACCATACATGGCAATCTTTCGAGAAGTTTACATGAGCCCATATTTCGGAGGCGAAGGATTGAGTGGTCTTTTGCCGAGCCTAGTGGCATTAGGACAGGGCGTGGGAGGAGGTACCCATACCTCTTGTCCACAGGCTCCCCTGAACACTACAAATGGAACTTCAGCCAACAATACTGACTCTCTCCCTGGTCCAAACTTCCCTGCTGAGGGGTTTTTCTTGTTCCTGGCTGGGATGATGTTAGCATCTGGGTTGGCCTTTCTTGGGTTGAATCACCTTCCGATATCAAAACGGCAGCAAGCAGAGAAGAACTACGATGAAAATGGCCAAGAGGCTCAGAGTTTTGAACAAACCATGGAACTTGTTTCCGTGGAAGAGCAGAAGGACAGCAGGCAAAATTCATATGATCAAGAAGACCATGCAATGGAACGTCTGTCAGCAGGTGGCACTGTGTTCCTCATGGTGATATTAGCTTTAGTCAGTGGCCTGAGTAACGGTGTCATACCAGCCATCCAGTCATATGCCTGTATTCCTTACAGTTACTACATCTATCATTTGACCCTCACTCTGTCCAATATTGCCAATCCTGTCACCTGTTTTGTGTTTCCATTTATTCGTACCACGTCAATGCTGATCATAGCAGTGCTTAGTTGTATCTACTTTGGAATGTGTACCTACATTCTCACTGTGGCATCACAGAGTCCAAATGTGCTTTTGAGATGTGATGATTCCGGTGCTGCCTTGATAGTAAGTACATAATGTAACATGTTCGTGTTAAGTTACATATATTTACTGCAGTCAAACCTGTGTTAACTTCACCTCTACTGAACGGATTTGGTCATCCTTTACTGAGTCCCAGTGGTCCATCTGTATTGTCTTCTACCTGTTTATAATGATCACTTAAAGCAAATTCTCCCGAAGGGAAGACTTTCACTTAAATTTTTGCTGCATTGTTTTGATGAAAAAAATTGATATTTGTAAAACTAAAAATCTTTTTGAGTGCCTTTTTTTATTTTTGATTGCTCATATTTGAGAAAAAGTAAAGGGAATAAGGGATCAAAACCAATTTTTGCAAAGGAAATTTCTTGACGAACTGGTAGAGGACTGTAAAGAGAAATTACTGTTTACAGGCTGATTTTGTTCAACAAAAGATTTTATTCTATAATTGCAATCTTTGTATGCAATTTGTTTTTTTAGTACAAATGGCCTTTTAAAATTCATTCTTTATTGGAATTATCTTTGATCACACATATTTGCGGAAAAGAGCAGGGAAAAGGAGATCTAAGTCAACTGTTTTGGCTTTGGATTGATATTCCTGAACTGGTGGAGGACTCTTAGGATACAAGTTACTGATTGCAGGCTGACAGTAGTCATCAAAAGATGGTATTTTATGATGGAAATCTCAATATACAATTTGTTTTTCTGATGAACATAAGGCCTTTTAAAATTATTTTTGTAAACTGGAGAGATGTCGTGCACAAAGTTGTGTAATCTAAATATTCAGGCACTAAAACAGTTTATGTCTGTATGTGTCTTGGTTGCCTGGTGATGTCTAAGTGCTTGGTTATAACATCTTTTCTTTCTATTAGTAAGACCAATATCTCCTATTTAACTTCTTTAACAACAGCAATTGGTGGTAAAATATTGTGCACTATGTTAAATTGTGCATCACACTTTTAAATTTGATACTGAGAAAGATTTAGCCTCAATTGTTTCTTACTCTGGGGGAGTCTTTTGTGCAAAGTTGCGAACTGGCTCAATTT